CCTGCGCTTCGCTGGAGAGGGGGTCGTGAGGGTCTGAAGAGTAGTCGTCGTCGCCGGTAGTAGGGTGCGTGGGGCGACTCGGAGTGTCGATGGGAAGGATGTGCATCTCGTCGTCGTCCTCGTCGTGAACCGCGGGCTTGGCAATGTTCGAGTCGGCTGGGCGGAAGGGGGGAGAAGTGTAGTCGGTCTCGTCGACGTCGACGGGGAGGTGAGAGTCGAGGTCGGGCGTGTAGGTGTCTGCGTTGTCAGCGACGTCGTCGACGATACTCCCGACTCACTCTCAGCATCCCAGACGTCTTCGCGGTAGGTCTTGCGGGAGACTGTTGTCCACCCAAACAGGGCCAGGGCCGCCACGATCGACGCGATCAGCGCCCAGCGCTTCCACGCCGTCATGCCGCCCCCCGCCCTCTTTCGGGGCCGGGTGTCCGTCGGCAGCGCCGAGTACTTTCTCGACGAGAACATCTCGCCGGGTGGGGGTCGGGTCGGGGAAACGAGCGAGGGTCTACGAGCGCGTCGACGAAGCGAGGCGAGGAGGAATGGTCCGGTGAAAGGAGAGTGGGGAGCAGCGGGGGAAGACGAGCGCGTGGAAGCTGACGAGGAGGACGCGGTGGAAGAGCGCGTGGAAGGGTCGGAGGACGTCGAGACGGGTGAGGATGAACGAGTGTGAGACGTCGGTTTGTTCAATGAGCGCTTGCGGGTGGCAGGCATGCACGACGCGGGGACGCTGCGGCGGCGTGTCAGCGGGGCACGGTGCGGAATGGGCCGTGGGAGTTGCCACTGATTTGGGTTGGGCAGGACAAAGGAGGCTCACGGTGAGGGGGCTCTCGACGAGCGGCGAGACGGGAGTGGGACGGTCTATAGAGAGGAGACTGTACGAGGAAGGGAGAGTGACGAGGGAAGGAGAAGTGAGGATGGAGCTGGATTGAGTTAGAAAGTAGAGACGAGAGAAATGTTAACAGTGGTGACAACGCAACGACGCGGTGCTGTGGGTGCTGCTTTGCTATTCCCCGTTCTCGGCCCGTGCCTCGCCACGAGTCATTTTCCTGCCGAATCGGGCAATTTCCTTTCGCTCGTCTCGTGGCGGCCGCGCAGATGGCAATGGTGGCACCGCACCCGTCCGACGTCGCGTCGTGGCGTCCATGTCAAGCATATCAAGCCGGTGTCGTCGCAAACTGGACGAGTGCAGGCCACGAGCATGACGGCGCCACACGACTGAACCCACTCAGGCCGCCGCCGCTTCCGCCCATGTGACAACCAATGACATAGTCCGATCCTACTATGGCTACAGGGTCATTACCGTCATTACATCCCCAAGCTCCACGCATCGTCCGCTGTGGCATTCCACTCTGCGTGCTTCTCGTTCCACTCCTGGATCACCACCGTCTGATCCTTCTCCAACTCCGCACTCGGCTCCAGCCCCACCACGATCGTCGCCTCTCCCTCCCACCCTTCGCCAAGCCTGATCTTGACAAACTTGCTCCCCTCCACCCATGCCTTTTCGACCCACCACCTGACCCCACCGCCGCCCTTCTTCAGATCCTTCTCCTTCTCCACGCGCACAGATCCTATCCGCTCCCCATCCGCCTTGGCGACATGCTGCAACCTCCAAGAGCCGTCCCACCCCCACTCGTCTTCCTCTGTCACGCTGATGACCACTTCCGCCTCGCCGTCTTTCGGAGGGGCCACTCGCACGGTGAGCTCGGAAGTCGTCCAGTTGAAGTTGAAGCCGAGAAGGTCGCCATACACGGCGGAAGGATACGGCCGGGAGAACAGCTTGCACATGCCAGGGCGGTAAACACCGGTGCGAGGGTCGACGAGCGTACCGTACGGCGGGGAACCGGCCACGCGGACAAACTGCTTGTACTGCCACCCAATCCACGAAAGTCGGACGTCGTCGGCGAGTTCGAGCACCTTGCGCAGGCGCCGAGGACCTTGGACGTATTCCACATCCCACTCGGTCATCTGCGACGTAAGCGATCCGTCACAACTAAGCAAACCGTCATGACCCCGCTTGACTCACCATTGCCGCGCCGCCGAGCCGGTGAGCGGTATGCACCCCCTTCTGTATCGCCGTCTCCATGTTCAAAGTGTCGATCGCGTTGGGGCCATACGAGTGGAAGCTAAACACGCTCTTCTCCGGCTTGTCCCCGGGAGTCTTGCTGAAGCCAGCGCCGAGATCGCCGCCGGATCCGCAGACCGGTTCCCAGAAGATGAGCGAGCGGTCGTCGTGTTGCCGGATCGCCGCCTCGACGCGGTCGTACATGGGCTGGAGGTAGTACGTGTCGGTTCGGCCTCTTGTCAACCATGCGAGAGGGACGTGCAGGGTCGACCGCGCGGCGATGAACGGTTCGTTCATGATCTCTACGCAATGTCAGATGCGTCGACAGTCGCCCCGCAGCACTCACCGTATCCGAGCACATTGCTCATCCCGGAGAACGTCTCTGCCAACTTTCCCCAGAACCGAATAAACTCGGTCTGGACGCCATCGTAGTTCGTGTACAAGCCCCAGAATGCCCGCGTCACGGCATCCGCTCCATACTCGAAACCCCAAAAGTCAGAGTACTTCATGTTGATCGGCGCCGAGTCGACGTGCGCGAGCGAGTCGTACTTTGCCATGGACAAGCCGTGTATTGGCATGGGGAACGGAAGCGTGTTCCAGTCCCGCGTGATGGCCCAAGAGGGCATGCCGTCGCCCATGAACTTTTCCGCAAACAAGTCCTGGTGACACTCGATCACCACGTAGATGCCCGCCTCTGCCGCCTTTTCCACCATCCGCCTCGTCTTCTCCAAGTACGCCAGATCGAAACCGTGCTCCCCCTTTTGCGGTTGCACCGCCGCCCACGAGATGCCCAGACGCATCACGTTCAGGTTGAGCTTGTCAAACAGTCTCAAGTCGTCCTCGGCAAAGCTCATGACCGGGTCAAAGTTGTCGACGTTCGGGACAAACGGCGACACCTTGTAGCTCACTGCCATGCCTCGGAACATCCGCACCTTGCCGTCCTCGTCGTAAAACATCCCGTTCTCCTTGTCGACGTGGGTGATCGCTGGCAATGTCCTGTTTGTGGACCACGCCTCGTCCGTGCGGTTCTTCATCTCCCTTCCTGGCGGCTTGGGCGCGAGGATCGGCTCGAACGCCGGGTCCGTCCGCCAGATCGGTCGATTTGGGTTCGGCATCGGGGGCAGCGCTTTGAACGTCGAGTTGGTGTTGGACGAGAAGAGTCGCTGGGGCGGGGTAAACGGACGATGCGACGGGGTGTTTGCCGGCGCAGTGCGTACCGGCGAGGCAGATGATGGCGGGAGAGCACACAGCACGAGTGATAATAGAACGGTGAGCGATGTCGGCGACCAGGGGTTGAGCATCGTCGACCGGCCAGGTGAGATGGCCCGGCTGACGGGATGCGGGTGACTCTGCCTCCGGAGGTGTTTGGCGAGATGCAAAGGGGTTCGTCGACGGTGGGTAGGAAGGAATGGGCGGCAAGAGTGACGGGGATGATGATGGTCTGATGTCTATGCAAGCATAACCAAAAAGCAGATTACAAGTGGAACCTCTTGGTGTTCTATGTATGCAGCGGTAGGGGGGCGATCGACGTCGCCGAGAGTCGGAGTGGTGTATATGCAGCGACAACAACGGAGAGAAGGATGACTGATCAAAGGTGAGAAGGACGATGGTGAGATCGTTGTCGCTGACTCGCTGTGTCCGGTCAAAGGCCCTCGCTCCGTTCTGGCTGGCTTTCGGGGCAGACGCAGACCTGACCGAGAGTCGCTGCGTCGCTGCGTCGCACGGGATGCATCGGGCGGAGGGAAAAGGGGCACGGCACCAGAACGAAGCGAAAAACAAGTACGCAGGCTGCCTGGCCTCGGGCGAGATGCCCCATTAGTCCACTTCTCCGGGCGCCACGCAAGTCTTCTTTTGACTCTGTCGTTTGTCTCTTGTCTCCCTCCTGTGGCCGAGGCTCCGTCCCCCGTCCGCCGGTGCAATCGGCCCATCATCCCACGGCGCTCCCTTCTCGTCATCCAAGCATTCACGGCCGGTGGCAACTCGGCCGCCGCGCCTCCGCTCGACACAACACCCTGCACCACAGATCCACGCCCCACGCCCCACCTACACTGCCACCTCATCGATACTATTCCTTGGTCAGGAGACCCATGCATGGGCCGTTGCTATGCTCGAGCAAATGAAAGATCGTGCAGAAGCTATGCATGCGGGCGCTAACTGGCTTGAGAGGGAGTACGTCGAGCCGTTTGGACCGGCGGATCGGGGGCCTGTGACGTCGACTGCGTGGGTGGGTCCTGTGCTGTAAAGCAGGATAAGCCAAAGCGCTAGGAGGCCGAGGCCACCGGTCGATCAGGGGAGGCAGAGGACACGTTCCGCCCGGCTGGGTGGGTGCGTAACACGGCCGCGGAGTGCGCAGAGCCGGAAACGGGGGAATGTGGCACAGTGGCGGCGGCGGGTTTGGAAGACTGAGCAGGGGTGGGACGTATGGCAAACCAACCTAGACTCTCGATGGCTCGGAGCAGAGCGAAATGAGACTGAGCACGTAGCAAAGGAGGGAAACGAGCGGGATCCGATTCCAGCGAGAGTATCAAGACGACATTCTTGTGTAGTAGCCGAAGCCCATTGAATCCTTCCCGCCCCACGTTAAGTTGTCTCCACTTCACATTTCCATACTTCCCTCCATCTCCATCCTATCGATTGCTTACAGAGGGGACAGAGGCCAGCACTCGAATGCGAAGACGGTGGAATAACCTCATCTACTCCTATCCGCTTCCCTTCCGCTTCCCTCCGCTTCCTCCTCCTCCGCTTCATCGACTTGATCCTCCCTCTCCCCCCGCCCCTTCTGCTGGTCCGCTCACTGTATTGTCTTCTTCAATTGGAAGGAAGCTTCGGAAGGGAGTGCGAGGGGCAGTGTGACAAGACAATGAGGACGACGGGGCACACAGAAGCTCCTGGCCCTCCCCAGTCCTGACCTAGCGATGCCAGACAGCTGTTTGCGTTTCGGGTCAGGATGGCCGAGTGGTCTAAGGCGGCAGACTTGAAGCTTTTGGCTCCGATATCTGTTATCTTCACGGATGCGTAGGTTCAAACCCTGCTCCTGACGTTTTTGACGGTGCGAAGACTGGGAAGAACATGTTTTTGATGTCGAGGGGAAGGTGGTGGAGATGTGCCACTTTGCTGCAGGCGGTGGGGTTGTTGTTGCAAATTGACTCGAATTCCACCGCAATGCCGTCGACGCGCTCGTTCCGGAGCTCTCTCTCACACCCGAGCTTGCGATGCATTGTATCTGTGCAACAAGAATACAACTCGAAAGGAGTGAGAGGGTGACAAGTGGTGAAGAGGAATGTGGCGAACAACCCAGTGGCAAAACCGCCACCGACATCACGTGACATTCGCCGCCGCGCCATAACCGGGCAGTCGCCCCGACTCGCGTTGCGTTGAATGTGCTCACTCGTATCGTGTATCTCTTTCTACTCGACTTCCGTTCGACTCGATCATCCCTTCTCTCCTTTGACAAGCACAAAAGGCGGTACCACTCCGCCGTCCGCCGACTCATTGATCTCGCCCAATACTGCCGACCCCGCTCCATGCCACCATGACCACGCTCAAGTCGTTCCAAGCGGAGATCGAGCAGATATCCCACGACAAGCACCTCCAGGCGATCAAGGATGCCCGCGAGGCGCACGCTGCGGCCGAGTTGGCGAAACACCATGGGAAGCTGCCTCCGAAGAAGGAGGCGGTAATTGAGGAGAAGCACGAGGCGCACGAGGAGGAGCCCGAGGCGACATTAGAGGTGAGTGCGGGGTACTGATTTCGCTGACGGTGCAGGATCTGATAATCCAGGGCGACGCCGAGGAGCTCCGGGCGAGACTCGCATCGGCACTGCTCCGAGGCCATGGCGAGGTGCTCATCCCGCTCGGAGCGCACCCGTCCCCTGCGTTCTCGTACAACCCCACGAACCCGCCCGAGACACCCACACCGACCACTGGCAACGCTCTCTCCCCCTCCGACCTCACCTCTGCTCTCGACCGATTACGACAAGCGTGCGCCGCGCTGAACGCCGAGCTCAATGAGATGTACCGGATAGACCCGGCGTCGGAGTCCGATCTCCCCGGGCCGTACGGCTGCTGGCTGGTCCGCCTGACCCCCCGCGGTGTAGAGGAGATCATGGAGGTGCGAGTGGCGGTGGTGGGCAATGTCGACGCGGGCAAGTCGACGACGCTCGGCGTGCTCACTCGTGGTGGACTCGACGACGGTCGGGGAAAGGCACGAGTCGCGTTGTTCCGTCACCCCCACGAGATCGAGACCGGTCGGACCAGCTCGGTCGGAGGGGAGATCCTCGGGTTCTCCCCAACTGGCCAACCTGTGATCCCTAGTCAGCACGCCGACACGACCGACCCACACGGCCATCCGCTCGCCGCGGCAAAACGCGAGAAGTTGGGCTGGGAGGAGATTTGCAAGCGCGCGGCGAAAGTGATCAGCTTTATCGACCTGGCAGGGCACGAAAGGTGAGCGGGAGTCAAGAAGCGTGCTGACCGTAGATATTTCAAAACCACGCTGTACGGACTCAGCGGTTGCGCGCCAGACTACGTCATGCTCATGGTCGGCGGCAACGCCGGCCTCATTGGCATGTCAAAAGAGCACCTCGGCGTGGCCCTCGCTCTCAACGTCCCAATAGCCGTCTGCGTGACCAAGGCGAGTGGACACGCGCGAACCTCACTAACCGCGCAGATCGACATGACCCCGCCCAACATCCTGGAGCAGACCGTCAACATGCTGGTCAAGGTGCTCCGAAGCCCCGGGTGCCGCCGCATACCGGTATTCGTCGACACGGCGCAGCAGGCCGTGGACTGCGCTCGACTCCTTGGCAAACCCATCGGCGGACCCGCGGGCACGGCCCAACTGTGCCCCATATTCATGGTCTCCAACGTGACTGGCCACAACCTCCCCATGCTGCGGACGTTCCTCAATGTGCTCCCCTCGTCGCAATCCGACGACAAGTACGTCGTCGACGCGCCGTTCGAGTTCCAGATCAGCGACGTGTTCTCGGTACCGTTCGTCGGCACCGTGGTCAGCGGCGTGATCACCTCGGGCACGGTGCACGGTGGGTAACGAGTCAGGTCTGCTGCGACTCCCGCTGACTTTTTAGCCAACGACGCCGTGCTGCTCGGACCCGACTCGGTGGGGCAGTTCATGCCCACCGCGGTGAAGACGATCCAGCGCAAACGTGCCTCTGTGAACAGCGGCGAGGCGGGGCAGAGCGTGTCGTGAGTGTGATTCACGAGGCGGTTCGAGCACCGCTGACGCTGCAGTTTCGCTCTCAAGCGGATACGCCGGACGCAGGTCCGTAAGGGCATGGTCCTGATAGGCCGCACCGACACGCCTCCAAAAGGTGCGCACGGTGTGAGAGTTGCGGATATGCCGCGCTGACGTCGCAGCGGTGAGACGGTTCGAGGGCATGGTGATGGTTCTGCACCACGCAAGTACGATTCAGCCGAAATACCAGGCGATGATGCACTGCGGGGCGATCCGAGTGGGTCCAATCGGTTACGGTTACTCCGGGGCTCTCGCTGATACTCGTAGCAAACCGTTCGGATAGTCTCGCTTGATCATCCCTCGGGACTGATACGCACAGGCGACCGGTCCAAGGTCGTCTTTGAGTTTCTCAGCCATACCGAGTTCATCAAGGAGGGTCAGCTGATCCTGCTTCGCGAGGCCAAGACAAAAGTGCTCGGCGTGGTGACGCGGATACTGGGGTGAGCCGGCGGCGGGTCGGCGCGAGCGAAGCTAGTCAAGTCGGCGAGTGAGGCGGGGCGAGTTTATCTCGTGTTGTAGCAGTAGCAATAGCAGTAGCAGTCGCAGTAGCAGTAGCATGTGGATGCATTGCAAGCGTTGTAAGTGTTGTAAGTGCGTCAGTCACCCTGTCGATGTGCGCTCGTGTCATCTGCTCGTGCCCGACGCGTCGAGTCTGTCCGTCGCCATCGCCACGCCACCACCCGACGCCTCGGCGTGACATCATGCATGACCTTGTCCACTTGAAACCACTTTCCTTTCCCACCAACATTATCCCAATTCCACCTCATTTCACCTCGCATCCACATTCCGTCACCCCTTCGCCCCACTGCGATCTTCTCACCTGCGCGTGCTCTCATCCACCTCCTCCGCCCCCGCCGCGATGTCCACGTCGTCGCCACCACACGGCGGACCTCCTCGCAACGACTCGCCAACATCCGAGCGCGGGCGGCCGTCCTTCTCCCGCTCGAGCTCTTTTCAGAGCTTCATCTCCAAGACGTCCCTCGACCGCTATGGCGAAGACTGGGGGACCGACGCGCTGACCCTCCTCGGTGAGTCGACCTGGTCTGAACACTCGACAGGAGCGTCCGAATCTTACGCACGTGCTGATTCTCCTAGATGTTATCGAGACGTTCTTCGGTGGGTCTGGGTTATCCAGCACCGCTTACATCTCACGAGACGGTACCCGTTGCCAGACCCGATGCTGATTGCGCAGACTCCCGGCTCGACCTGTTCAACCGCCGACTCAAAGCCCAGTCTGCCCGACTGAAGAACCGCGCGGTGGAGCTGCTCCCGAGGGGTCTGAGAACACCGGGCGGAGGGGGTATCCTCCTCGCTGACGACGACCACTACAGCGAGGGCGGGGATAACAGAGAAGGGCACGGCGGGCACGGCGGGCACGGTGGTAGGAGGGGAGACAGGTACCGCAAGGAAGTGGAGAGGGAGGTGGAGCGCATCAAAGTGAAGGTGGGCGATGACCAATCTGCTTTATGTGTCTGTTGAGGCGTCGAGCGTTGCGCTGAACGAAACAACCCAGCTCGCAGCAAAGGTCACTCAGCTATCCGCGCAATGGCGCTCAGCCCAGATCGTCCGCACCAAAGAGAAAGTCTGTGAGTGGTACCCCGGCCATGTAGCATCGCCGCTGGAGCCGGTCGACCCTGCGCTTCAGCCTACACCCTCCCCGCTCACACCCGTAGCATTCCTCTTCGGCGTACTCTCCCTCACATTCAGCTCGATCCTCTACGGCGCCGCCCCAGAATGGCTGCCGTTCGCCTACACCGCCCAGAGCGCGTTCTACATCCCCACCAGGATATACACGTACAAGCGCAAGGCGTGGCACTACTTCCTCTTCGAGTGGGTCGAGTCGCCTCCACACCATAGATGGTTTCACCGGACGAGCTAACGAGCGACAGTCTGTGCTACTTTGTCAATGTGCTTGATCTGCTCTGGATATGGGTCTTCCCCTCGTCCACCAAGCTGTTCATATGCAGCTACCTCCTCACAATGGGTATGTGATTTCACACCGGCGCGGTCACGCGCACAGTCCGCGATGCTCGCGCATTCGACTCCAAATGTCCCCCCGCTCACACCCTCAGGACCGCTCGCCAGCGCCATCATCACCTGGCGCAACTCGCTCGTCTTCCACTCGCTCGACAAGGTCACGAGCTTGTTCATCCACGTGTATCCCCCCGTCGTGCTCACCGTGATCCGGTGGGTCAACTGGGTCCGGAGCCGTCCCCTCGCCGCCTCGGCACTGGGGACAAGTCTCCTTCACGCTGATATCGGCTGATATCGCAGTCACAACTATGCCAATGCGGAGCAGCGGTATCCCGGCCTGGCTCAAGTCAACGACTATAGCTGGTACACCATGATCCTCCTCGCCGGTGTTCCCTGTGTGTATCCCGTGTATCAAAACCTAGGGTCGCCTCGCTGACGCCGACGCCGTTAGACATTCTCTGGCAGGCAGCGTATTACAAGGTCAGTCCTTCCCTTCGCCGGCGCCGCTCCCACCCTCCCTCGCTGACCAAACCAGTTCATCTCCATCGACCGCAAGTCCAAGATCGAATCCGGCCAACGCGCAAACTCGTTCCAATACATGCTCAACGACAAGCGAGGTCCGATCGGAAAGGCCCTCCAGGGCATCAAGCCAGAGCACCGAGAACCATGGTTCATCTTTGGCCAGCTGAGTGCGTGGCTCGTCTAAGGCTCCGAGTCCGGTGGCTCCGGCTCCAGTGTCATCCGCTCGCTCCGCTCGCTCCGCTCCGCTCACCCTCCGTAACAGTCTACAGCATCGTCTTCATGGTCCCGCCC